GAATTTGAGTGTCTTATTAATAAAATAAAATAAAAAATGTTAAATTAAATAAAGATTGAATATAACTACAATTATTTTAAAAACAAAAAAGGTTTTTATTAAAAATAGGGTTTCAATTACGTTCACAAAGATCCTAAGCAAATATTATCCGACCCATCGATCGTTTCAATGATAACAGAAGCCAATTCTTGTAATACTCCTTAATATATTTTATATAACTTTGACTGTATATTAAAGGTGAAGTGTTATAGTTCGTCATTTTCAAAACAGTTGTCATAATTATTTCGATAATAGATTTTTAATAGCAGCCTAGAGAATTATAGACGGATATTTAAACAAAATTTATATTGTTGTTCTCCAGGTCAATCTTTACTTTACTTTACAATTTCATTTATAAGCTTTGCATTGGGTACGGATAAGTTAAAGGTATGTGTTTTTGCTGATTCACTTTTGGCACTATAGTACAGTATAACATTCAGGAAGTCGATAGACGCAGGTGGCTTAGGACCGTGCTTTGTGCACATTCTTTGGGGGCAGGCCTATGTTAAGTAGCGAACTTGTGAAGGGCTATAATGATGATGTCATTGAATATAAAACGCTGAATGTAGATTGTCAAAAGAGTAGAGAGCCATAATTGCCACGCTTGGCAAACGGGTTGACAACTGCAGTTTTTTATTATTTTAAGTTGTTAATGCCGTGTAGTAGTGGCGGGTAAAAATATCCAATACCTCATATCTTCCCATAGGTATCGTAAGAGGTGACAGAGAGAAACAGACAAAATATGGGTAGCAGCAATTTCCTGATAACAACGATAATACAAAAAAAACTCCGGTTGCCAACCCGCTCGCTAAGCGTGGCAACTATAGCGATATACCCCATACGATGAGAATTATGAAGAGACGGCCCCTAATCACCAGCAATGAAGCTATTCCTGGCCGCGGAGGTAAACATTGTAAAGGCGAAGCAAATAGTACTTAGGAATCCCCAGTGCAGATACGGTTGCCTCCTAAGAAGACTCGATCAGGCTACATAAAATGCACGAACCCTGTGAACTGACGAGAAGATTCTAAAGCTGGAAGAAGAGGTAGACAAGTTGCGCTGGAATATTATAGGATTATCCAAGCTCCGATGAGAGGGGGAGGACACGGTAGCCCTCGAATCTGGCAATTGTTATAACACCGGGAGGTCGATTATTATCTGTCCTAAGGAAGTGTCGGATTTATCGTCCACAAGTCTCTCGTCAATAATATTGTAAAGATTGGAAGTGTGTCGACTAGGGTTACCTTAGACTAAGAATTAGCAAACGGTATTCATCATTCATCATCATATCATTATCACTACAGCCCTTCACAAGTCCACTGCTGAACATAGGCCACCCCCAAGAAATGCCGAAAAGAACGGCCCGAGCTACCTGCATCCATCGAATTCCTGCATGTATTACCAGGTCATCACTCCATCTAGTGGGAGGCTGCCCTACACTACGCCTACCGGTACGTAGCTGCCACTCGTAAACCTTTATTCCCATCGGTTGTTGGTTCTTCGAGCTATATGGCTGGCCCATTACAACGTCAGCTTACTAATCCATTGGGTTTTGTCGGTCTCTCTGTTTCTACTGGAGATATCCTCATTTCTAAGTTTATCGCGCAGAGAAACCCCAAACATAGCTCTTTCCGTAGCTCGCTGAGCAACCTTGATCGTCCACGTACGGCCAGCAGTGAAGGACCACGTCTCAGATCCATAAGTCATGATTCGGACCACGCACTGGTTGTACAATCTAGTTTTTAGGTTTTCAGGCATACCTGACGAGAGGATGCGTCGTAATTTTCCGAAGGCTGCCCAGCCGAGTTAAATACGTCGATTGACCTCTCAGTCGAATTTGGACTTACCTAGTCGGACTATTTGTCCCAAGTAAACATGCTCGTCAACAACTTCGAGCTTAGTGCTCCCAAAAACAACCGGCATAGGTGTGATATGAACATTAAACATGATTTTTGTTTTGTCCATGTTCATCTTACGACTTATCCGTTGGGAGACTTTGCAATTCTGCCATAAGGACTATATTGCGACACTCTCCACTGACGTTAATATCGTATTATTTCTAGTTCAGTAACTTGAAACTCGCATCTTCCAATGCAGCGGTAAAGAGTTTCGGGGATATAACGTTACCCCGTCTTATACCTTTCTGCAGTTGGATAGGTTTCGTACTCTGATTCTGTACTCGGATAGCCATTGTAGCCCTAAAGTTCAGCACCTCGATAGTTCGACAGTCAACTTGGTACCGCTGGAGGGACTGTAGCATCGGCCAAATTTTGAACTGGTCGAGCTCTAATGATTCAAAAAGTAATGAGATGACTTCATTATGATGACAAGGCGGCAACTTTTAAGTGGAGTCTTAGTGACCGCGAGGATGAAAACTGGCAGCGATCACCGCATGTTAAAAGGGACACTTAAACTTAGCGTTAAGTTGTAAAGGTCTTGTCTTTTGAAGTCAACGCTCAGTCCCCCTTGTGCTCTAATTAAAAGTCCCAAAACATTTCAGCCAAGTTACGAAACCGTTTTCAGCGCCTAGAATATTAGAATGCAGTGGACGATATGACTGATAAGTGCGTGGAGACTGTCCGTGCAACTGTCTATCACACTCTTAATCTCATAGCTGTTAGATAAGAAATGAAGCTGCAGTCGACAGGAGATTTGAACACATAAAGGCAATTGAGCAGGTAGATCTTCAAATGCATGCAGCGGGATTTACGCAATATTAGTACAGCTCTAAAGCCATTGCTAGATGTTTGCCTGCCAAAAAGAGTCAACTGTCAAAGCTGAAAACCGTATGTAATAGCATTGTTTCCGGGGCTCCTGAGAATTTGAATATCATTGAGAGGTTCTATGGGCAGCTTTACACGTCGTAGATGGAGACTCACGCAAGTGTGAGTAACGATCCAGGAGCAAGTCTCATCTGACACTACTCCAATGAAACCCCCGACGTCAGTTTGAGTGAGATCACAATTGCTCTCCAGCACCTTTAAAACGGTAAGGCCCCAGGAAAGGATGGAATTACAGCGGAGCTTTTGAAAGCGAATGGAAAAACGGTACTTGATGTCCTTCAGAAGCCCTCTAATTCCATCATTCATAGAGTAACATTAGGCGTGGATCAGAAGTACGGTGGTATTATTTTCAACAACGCTCTCATGAAAACTACATACTGAACCGCGCTGATGTGCTGTTTTTGATGGTCGTAACGAATTGTCTCGCACGCAGATTTGACGAATTCTAGCCTCCCGTGCAAGCCGGTTTCCGAAAGGACTTTAGTACCATAGATCACATGCATACACTTCGGCAAATTGTATAGAAGGTCAAAGAGTACAATTTACCACTTTGGCTTACTTATGTGGACTATGGGAATTCCTTTAATTCTGTCAAAATTTGGGCGACGCTGCGGTAACTTCAGCGGTGCCAAGTTGACTGTCGATATATCGAAGTGCCGAAGTGCTTGTACAGTAAGGCTCCGATGGCTTTTCGAGTTAAGAACCAGATTACGAACCCATTCAACTACAGAGACGTATAAGACAGGGTGACATTATATCGTATATATAGGGTTTAAATTGATCTTTTTTAAATTAGAAAATTTAGAAAGATCAATTTAAACCCGCGTTAGAGAACCTATAGATGATGTGAAGAATCGACGCTCCGGGAAGTCTGCAGTCTGTGAACACATGCAGGATCGCCCCCGTTACTACATCAGATTTAATAGACCACAAATCTTCGCTAAAGAACACCGATTCCTTCTAAGGATGAATTGCAGGACGATTGAAATCAAAAAACATCCTAATATCAATAAAAGAGATGGCTAGGTGCTACCGCCTGCTTGGGATCTAATAATTAATAAAATTAAATCCCAACCCAAGGAAACAACTGCAAGATTTAAAGATAGTATAAATTCATATTTCGTAGATTGGAATAAAAATTAATAATTTTAATCTATGGTAACGACGTTAACTATGATTGATATCTGTACGTTGAACATCTCAGTCCCCCCCCCCCGAGACCAAGGGTGCTGTAAATTGCTGGAAACTTGGGATATATACTCGTAAAACAGTTAATATACGCAGTGAAATATGTAAAAACTAGTATTATTTAAATGTGTAGTGTTCGGGTAAATATGAGAAATCATTATGTCACCATTGCGTGTTGCCAGCAAAGACTTATGAATATGAGATGTGGTCTTTCACTGCTGGCCATACGAGAACGCTCAAGGTCTCTCGACGAAGTATGGAGAGAGCAATGCTTGGGTTTACTCTGCGTGATAACTTTAGAAATAAGGATATCCGCAGTAGAACCAGAATGACCGACACAGGCCAACGGTAGTTGTAGTGGCAATGGACCAGCCGTATAGCTCGAAAAACAAAATATCGATGGGGAAAAGTTTCTAGAGTGGCAGCCTAGTATCGGTATGCCAAGTTTAGGTTGACCCCTACTAGATGAAGTAACTACCTGGTAAGACATGCAGGAAGACGATAGATGCAGGTGACTCCGGACCGTGCTTTGTGGCATTCCTTGGGAGAGGCTTATATTTAGCGGTGGACTTGTGGCTGACTGTAATGATGATGATGGTGATGTTAATGATTGAAAAGTGTCCGCATCCTGTTTCAGTTTCCCTCTGCCGCCTTTTACAATACCCACGGAATATGAATTGTGGATTCTCTTGCGCCGCGCCTCCATTATACGCTTATTTTATTTATTCATTATTTATTTACACTTTATTGCACCTTAATAAAAAGGATTACAAAGTTTGTCTTGCTTGTTTGGTAGTATCGTCTACACCTTGCTCGATGAACGCGTCCTTTTAGAGTAGATCTAAAACAAAAAAGTTGCAACACGAACGCAACCTAACGCTTCTCGAATGTCATTCGTTTTACCGCGTTAGATGAACAGTCATCCATTTGCATTTGCGCACTAAATCTCGAAAGTTTTTGTGCAATTTATTCTGGTTACGTTGGTTTAAAATGCCTAAAAGACGAAGGGAGTCAAAAGAAGAACGTTTAGAAAGGAAGTTGAACAAATATAAGAAAAATATGAACGTTGTAAAAGACGTAAAGACGAACATTCAAAAGATAATAGAAACGAAAATGATGTTGGCGATATTGGTAAGTCTGTTTTTATCATGACTCAATTTATTAATCAATATAATGCAATTGATTAATTATAATTAATCAATTGCATTATGCGGAACTTTATGGATATATAATATTTCATTAAAATAAAACAAAAAGTTTTAAAAGATCATTAAAATTAGCATGTAGACCGCCAATGTTTTCCAAAAAGTTTAAAATGAGGTTTACTTATCCTCAATTTTACCATCCAAAATTTTATGTGTATAAACTTTTGAGACTATCCCGTGGGGCATAGTCACGACTTTCCCGTGGGGATTAGTCGACCAGTCATAATATGCCTGGATGCATGTGTCACAAACTCGTAAAAGCGAGTGTCACTTTTGACTTATCCCGTGGGGATAATAGTCATGCCATACCATTTAATATGGAGGCCTCTTAAAGTGAGTGTCACTATTAAACCATTATATTGGTACTATAGCAATCGAATATCATTAATTTATGGGCATTACATCTGTAAACAAAGGGGGGAGAGAAATGAAGGCATAAATAAGAAAATTAGTATAATACAATACTACTATAATTATAAAATTTCAGTAAAAAGTATTGAATCAGATGAGGAGATTATTCTGGAAAATATCGAACCAGAGGAGGAGGAGGAGGTAGAAATTATGGAAGTTAAAGAAGAAAATTTAGAAGAGGATATTATAGAAGCCATGGGTCCTCCGATTTGTACTGAATCTTCATATGGTCAACCAATACATCCAGAGGTTTATAAAAGGGTCGAAGGTATTTTGATGGAAGGCTTGACTAAAGAAAAAATTGAAACATATAAAAAAAGAACAATTAATACCGGAAAATACCATTTTGTTAGAGGCACCACTACTGAATCCTGAATTACACATGATACAGGAGTCAGAAAAAACAAGAGATAAAAAAATTGAGAACCGCCAAAATTTATTAGGATTAGCCGCAGGCACAATATTAAAATGTGTTGATAATTTAACCAAACAGAATTTTAATAAATTAGATATCATAAAAAACATGACAGAGGCGGCCAGGATTCTAGCCCATCTCCATTCAGAAGGTACGGTAATAAGAAAAAAATTGTTAATACCTCACTTAGATAAAACCATATCTAAGACTCTTGCGGATCTCAAACGGGATAAATTCTTATTTGGAGAAAAATTGAGTGAATGTGTAAAGAGTGCAACAATTTTACAAAAATCTGCTTCAAATCTTCTAAAGAAATCTATTCCAAAACCTTTTAAGCCAAGGCAAAATTCTACTACAAAAAACTACTATCCCCCTCAACATCAAAGGACCCAGAGGAAGATGTTCAGGGGAAATCAAAATTTTCAACGGCCGGCAACCAAGGTCCAAGCACCGGCAGTGACTGGCAGCCAGCCTCACAAACAAAAGAATTACAGACAACAACGTGCCAAATACCCATAGAGGTAACACATTTTGCTGGTCGAATTAAACATTTTTATAACTGTTGGAATAAGCTTACAAATCATAACACTATTTTATCATGGATACAGGCCTATAAAATCCCTTTTATAAATAATCCAACTCAAAATTGCTTACCACTGAATGATAAGTTGTCAGGTTTAGAAGATAGGATTATATCTATAGAAATTAAAAAGTTAATGAAATTACATGCTATTTCACAGTGTACTCCTGTAAAAGGTCAATATTTATCGAATATTTTTTGTATTCCAAAGCCTGATAAATCACATAGATTTATTTTAAATCTTAAGCCCCTAAATAAATTCATAAATCCTCCACACTTCAAATTAGAAGATATTCGTACCTTATGCAAATTAGTGACTAAGGACAGTTATATGTGTACATTAGATATACAAAATGCATACTATTTAATTAATATTCATGATGATTTCAGAAAGTTTTTACGTTTTAAATATAAAGGAATTCTGTATGAGTTCAATTGTTTACCATTTGGATTGTCTACTGCACCATATAGTTTTACAAAATTATTAAAACCAGTAGTAGAACATCTCAGAAGTAAAGGCCTCATAAATGTTGCCTATTTAGATGATCTTAATTGCATAGGACTCTCTTATGCAGAGTGCCTAGACAATGTTCATAAAACTGTAAATTTACTCCAGTGTTTAGGTTTTATAATTAATATGAAAAAGAGTAATTTAATTCCATCACAAGAAAGAGAATATTTAGGTTTTTTCATAAATACACAAAAAGTGATAATAAAAACCACAGAAAATAAAAAGAAATCTTTATTACGAGTATCTGCAATACATAAATTTCTTAAATTAAAGTACTGTTCTATTAGAGAATTTGCTGCCTTGGTAGGTAGTTTTGTATCTATATGTACGGCAGTATCATATGGATTTGTATACACAAAAATATTTGAGAGGGAGAAATACATAGCTTTACAGAGATCAAATGGAGACTATGAAAAACAAATGAAAATAAATAAAAACGTGAAGTTAGATTTATCATGGTGGCAAAATCAGATTAATACTGCATATAATCCAAGAAAACAGTATCAGTTTATATTAGAAATTTGGTCAAACGCTTCTAGTACGGGTTGGGGAGTACAATGTGATGGTAAAGTGGCAGAAGTCTTGCAGTTGTATGCTTGGGTTGGGATTTTATTCTATTTATTATAGTATCCCAAGCAGATGGTAGCACCCAGCCATCTTCTCCATTGAAATTAGGATGTTTTTTGATTTCAATAGCCTCGCGAATCGTCCTTGGAAGGAATCGGTATTCTTTAGCAAGGATTTGTGGTCTATCAAATCTGATGTAGTGACGGGGGCGATCCTGTACGTGTTCACAGACTACAGACTTCCCGGAGCATCGATTCTTCACATCAGCTATATGTTCTTTAACGCGGGTTTTAATTGATATTTTAGTTTGTCCTATCTAGGAGAGACCACACTCACCATCAAGCTTGTATACTCCTGCATCTTGCAGAGGGACGTTACACTTGACTGATGGTAAAAACTGATCAATCTTCTTCGGCGGCTTGAAGTATGTTTTGATGGAAGCGTGCTTCAAGATGTAGCCAATCTTGTCAGTGACTCCTCTCTCACAGTGGAGTTAGAGGCAAACAATTCTTTAGCTTTTCTAGATGTGTTAGTAATTTGGAATCCTGACAAAACCTTGAGCCATACTGTGTATAGAAAAAAAACCCATACAGATAGATATTTAAACGGTGATTCTCACCACCATCCTTCACAGTTAGCTACCGTGGGTAAATCTTTGTTTCAGAGAGCACGAGGGATCTGTGACAGTAAACACCTGGCTGCCGAGCTCCACCATATCAAGCAAGTTTTGCATGACAACAAGCTTCGGGTCCCGCGCCTACGTCACAATGAACGAGTGAAGCCGGCGGTTGAGCGTGTACCTGCTGTACTGCCATGTGTTAGAGGAGTCACTGACAAGATTGGCTACATCTTGAAGCGCGCTTCCATCAAAACATGCTTCAAGCCGCTGAAGAAAATTGGTCAGTTTTTACTATCAGTCAAGTGTAACGTCCCTCTGCAAGATGCGGGAGTGTACAAGCTTGATTGTGAGTGTGATCTCTCCTACATAGGACAAACTAAAAGATCAATTAAAACCAGAATTAAATAACATATAGCTGATGTGAAGAATCGACGCTCCGGAAAGTCTGCAGTCTGTTAACACGTACAGGATCGCCCCCGTCACTACATCAGATTTGATAGACTAGAAATCCTCGCTAAAGAACACCGATTCCTTCCAAGGATGATTCGCGAGGCTATTGAAATCAAAAAACATCCTAATTTCAAAAGAGAAGATGGCTGGGTGCTACCATCTGCTTGGGATCCTATAATAAATAAAATTAAATCCCTACTCAAACATACAACTGCAAGACTTTAAGATACCATAAGTATATACTGTGTAGATCGGAACAAAAGTTTAATTTTTATCCATAGTAACCGCTGTTAACTATGACATTTGGCCGTTGAACATCTCAGTCCTCCCCGTGACCATGGGTGCTGTAAAGCGCTCGAAACGTCGGGTATTTATAGTTAAATATTCGCGATAAAATTCGTAAAAACTAGTATTATTTCAAAGACCATTTATTGTATTAAGTCTACGGCAGTTAGCTTCGATGATGCGAATATACTCATGATCACCTTAATTCTAGACAATATTAACCCTTTTATTTTTCATATCTTAATTATTCACTATTTCCTGGGGATTTTCCTACACTTTGGAAAAAAACATTTGTTATTCCGCAGCCCAAAATAGATAACAACTGTTCATTCTCTCACTTTCGCCCAATTTCTATTCTCCCATTTTTATCTAAAGTACTTGAAGCTATTGTCCACAAACAAATTTCTAGTTACATTTTCAAAAATAACTTCCTTAACACAAATCAATCTAGTTTTAGGCCTGGGCATAGTAAAAACAAGGCTCTTTTGAAATTTACAAAAGATTTTTGTACTGGAATGGAGAACTCACAATTGACTGTGTTAGTCCGAATAGATTTCTCTAACGTTTTTAACGCTGTCGATTATGATATTCTCCCAGCTGTACTTTGTCACCTGGGTTTCTCTTCATAAGCGCGGGACTGGTTCTTCTCGTATCTTCGGGGTCATCAGCAGGCAATTCGAGTTCGTCAGGTCGTCTCTGATTGGTAGTCGTTATCTGCTGGCGTTCCTCAAGGTGATCATCATCTCAAGATTTTTTTACCAATTGTGACTAAGGCGATGCTAATACAGACTCTAGTGTTGTCTATTTTAAATTTGCCTGATGCCTCTCAAGAACTTCTAAACAAACTGGATGGACTTCTTAATAATTGTAAACGATTCATTTTTGGTTAACGTAAATACGACCATATCTCCTCTTATCGTTCTTAGCTTAAATGGCTACTTCTTCGCTATCGTGGATATTTCAGAATACTGTGCACATTATTTTCTGTTTTACACGATCCATTTGTCTCTGAATATCTGAAACGCAAATTTCAGTATCAGGGTGATTCCCACAATCGTTGTCTCCGTTCTGCGGAAAAGTCTAATCACCATGTCCCTCTCTGTCACACTAGCTTCTCGTATAAAACTTTTATTTCTCATACATTAAGATTGTGGAATGAACTACCGAATAGTGTTTGTGCAGCAACGAGCAAGACATCGTTCAAACGCCTGCTTCGGAATTATTTTCTGGCGTTGCAGGAGTAGTTTGTGGTTTAACATATTTTTTTTATATCATTAAATTCTAACTTTTCCCTTTTCCTGTTTTTATTTTAAATATTTTATATGTGTTTGAATCAAAAACAGCTATATTTAATTATGTATGAACTATGTATGCATGTATACACACATGTGACTAAAAATTAAAAAATATATATTATAATATTATTTTAAAAATAAAATATTATTATACGCATATACAGACGGCTCGGAATCTGCTAAATGGTATTTCTTGGGAAAACCTATGTTTAGCAGTGGACTTGTGATGAGCTGTTTTGATTATGTTGATGATTATTCCAAATATATGTTATTTATTAATTCAAGACCAATCAAGTTTATTCAACCATCCACTAAACAAAACCATCTCGAATTTTGTTCGCCAGCAGCCAGTTATTGGCTAGCTTTGTTCCCTCAATTACAAAATCCGCTTAATTTTAATTAAATCAGACTGTAAGATCTATTGCCCGCAGCTTGTCTACGCGATGATTTTGAATACAACTTGGATGGAGGCCTCTGTTCAAACATAGTTTAATTTGCTTTCACTTTATTGAAAACAAATATTTTAACTATCGTATTTTCAATTCAAACAAGTGATAATTATTGTGTTAAGCTGTATTATAGTTACCACTTCAATTGTCATTATTATCGAATATAATTGTTTTAGGAACACTTGTAACACTATGAACATTATTTATGGTCCTGATATCGTACTAACTAAGCTCTAAAAGTTTGTGTTAAAAGCACTATACCATTAGATTTCTTTATAGTATAAATACCTAAATACGAGAATATAGCTGACCTGATGGTAAGTGCGGAATTATCTAGCAGACATCTATCCTAGAATATAAATCAAAAGCGGATGAGTCATCACCCTTGTAAGCTAACATGGAATACCTTGTTTCCAGTAAAAGGGATTTTCGGTTCTTGACAATCACTATACGAAATACAGTATTGAGCTGCGATTTTACGCTGGTATTCTGTGTCCTTGGCCCTTCAGTTATTGTGATCCTTTTCTGGTCGAGCCAACGCATTCGTGCTACAACTATAATGGCTGAAGCATGTTCTTGCCACTTATAAAAAGGCTTAATACTTCTTGCAATATAATTTCAGAGTAAATATTCCAAACTCCAATGAGGAGCACGTACTGACAAACTAGCTTCGAAATTAAATTTTTGGGCTCTTAGAATAATTCCAGGTTAATTGACGAAACTTACTTAAATAAAACTCGTTAACTTCATGTTCTTTGGTATA